AATTAAAAAAAACGTAATTTTTACTATTGCTAATTAAGCCTGTCACGCGGCGAAAAACAAACTTATCGTCACATTTTTGATTGCGGAACTAAAAGTTGGCCATGAAACGAAACTGTTAAATAAAAAATTATTATATTTTATCTAATAGGTTTTGCAATATGACACTCCAAAGTTGCAATTATCTAGCATGAATCCTGACGGGAGCGGTAAAAAAAGGCTTCGAAGTCGAAGCCGGATAACCCGGGGGTAACTACAGTGTGCAGCTCTGCAGATACAATGGTACTCGAAACGGGCCGTCTGGTTGTAGAAGAAAGCCCCGAGAAGGTTGAAATGGGTGCAGTTATCTCGACTGCCAACTCGCTGTGCATTTTCCCTCGAGGTAGTGAAGTCATCTCCACCTGCAACACAGGCGGGCAATGCCCCATGATGGAATCCGTCTCCGCGACGACCGAGGACATATTGGAGGTGGACAGCGAAAGTGCTCAACGTGAGCTTGCGATGCTCTTGGTGGAGGGATCGATTGCATCGGCAACTCCGTCCGAGACGCCATTGTTTGTTGCCAGCCTACCAATACAAGTCGAACGATTAGTGCGGAAACGACGAGCGAACGAGGCCCTCCAGACCCATTTCGTCCCTATAGAGGTGACCCAAAAGCGGGATCGGGCCAAATGGGATAACCATCTGAACACCAGTCCCGCTTGCCAAACGCTACTCCTTCAGCAATCCCTCGCCAACCTAGCAATCCGAAAGATAAGGGATCGAGCGACAGTAGGACGCATGTACGCGGGGGAGTCTCTTGACCTCCCCACTGCGCGAACTCAAGTCATACAATGCAAGATCACATCTCATATCCCCAGTTCGAGCTGCACGCATCAGTCTGAGGAACTGCAGATCCCCATGTCAGCATTCAGGGAAGAACTAAGCTCATCTGGCAGCACCGTGAAACAGACTAGCGAGGCGAAGCTCTCCTTCGAGATACGTTTCCTCCCAGGATCGACAGAGCCAAAAGAATGGTCGCATACGGTGCTCCAGCCAGTTCAGCTCAATAGGCGGAGCTTCCATCCCCTTGCGAGTTATCGTGAGGAGGAAATCTTTAAGCTAGACCGTAAGAAGGCTGCCGGCTACACTAAGGACATAGAGTCTCACTACGTCGATGATGAGTCTTCCTCGCGTGCGACAATGTCCGTTGGCACAGACCCCACTGACCGGCAGGTAGCGGAACAAGGCACGTCCGGTGAAGTTGACTATCCCTAACAGGCGGTAGCGGGAAAAGGATCTCCACCGGAGAGGGATTTGGAACACTTGCAACCGGTTGTGCAGGGGATAATGATCCCGCTGGGCCAACAGTCAGAAGTTACAATGATTGGCGGGGTGCAAGAGGTATGCGCCGCAACGAAGTCCGCTTCTACCCTGAAGCCGGTTATGTACGTTTCGGCCTCCAAACCAGCCTGGCGCAGGGTTGTAGGAGATGACGGCTACCTATACAAGGAGTACGAGGATGGCCGTCGAATCCTCTCAACCTTGGCCGGTGCAAAACGTACAGGGAAAAAGGGGAAACCGGTGGTCTCCGTCTTGGCGAAAGTAGAGGTATCCCGACCAGCTACTGCTTCCGAGTCCATTATCCAGCTACCGGCGCTCCAGCCCATATCTGCAATTGCAGCCACCATACTGACAGAGCCACCAGCTGGATCGAGGTCGACAGCAACGGTACGGCGTGCTGCGCGTCGGCGCGCGGCAGCCCAGCAAGCCACATTAGCCACTTTAAATCAGATGTCCCTAGCTTCACCAATACCTTCAGCAGCATCCACGGTGCCAATGACATCGGCGACATTGACGACATCAACATCATCGGTGGCAACAGCGATGTTACCACCACAAAAGTCACCAGTGCCGCCGACGTCGAAGCCGCTCTCCATGTACAGAGATATTGCACTGGCGTACTTCGCTGGCTTATCCCTGGAGGAACGCCTACATCTCGTTGCGGAGACAAGCAAGCTTTCGCAGTCTCTCACTCGTCAAGATAGCCAATAGTACGTGGCCAGGTGAGAAAAAGGTATGTGGTGTTCCTGGACATTTGATTTGTTTCTTTTTTCTTTTGACTTTTCTTTTGGCTCTTAAAAGGGGGCGCGAAGTTCTAGACTGAATCGTACGAGGGATAATCAAATTAAGTCAAATGGAGAAGAGGGGGGAACAACGGTGATTCTTAGCCACCCACGGCTGCGGCTCGACGGCCAGTCAATGAAGTTCGGGGCACGAGGCTCTTGTCTCAGAAGCGGGTACATCGAAGTGGCGTCTCAGGACGCCTGGTTGATCATCCAATAGACAGGGAAGGATCCCGATGGACTAGTTATGGGGCTTGCGATAGCGATCGTCGAAATAACAATTAACCCATAAAACGCGTTCGCCGATCTCGGACCGACCGCGAAAGTTACGGGGGATGAGGTAATCAAGAGGGCAAAGTCAATAATAAACAATAAATTAATAAAGACTCGAGTTAATTAGACCAACTTATCCCTTAGGTCAGCCCAGTAGTCAATCACTCGCGATGGTTTGCCTGATCTAAATTATTAAGGGCACGAACGGCGTACCGCGACGCAACGTCGACTTGGGCGAACGATAGTTGATGCGAAGAGTCTCGATGGATTGCGAACGCGCGGTTATGCATCATCCAAATTATCTACTTCGCGCACTAGCTCAGGAATTTGTTTAAGTAAACACACACGCGCGGGATCGGTCGGTCACGTGAAGGTCAGGCGCGGCCCGCGTAATGTATGTAAATCCGATTGACTTCAGAGAAGGAATTTCTCAACGCGCGTAAGAAACTCGTCGCCCGCGCGAAGGTCATGCGGTATTCACTCTTTGTTTGGCACTTAACAAAGCCCATCAGAAAAAAACGATTGTGAATAGACGCGCGCACTGGAAATCCGTTGCCCGCGCGAAGGTCATATGGCACTCGACAATTTGATTTAACAAGAAAATCGTATAAAGGGAATCGGCGAAACTGACGCGCGTACGGGGACTTCGTGCCCGCGCGAAAGCCGGAAATTCGTTTAATTTCGATAATTTAGCAGAGAAAATTGCGTAAGGGAAAATCGGCGGTAAACCGACGCACACGCAAAAAATTTACAAATATCCGCACGCGCGTGAAGAATTCGTCGCTCAGGCGACAATCAAAATGACGGCATAGCAAAGAAAAACGTCCGAGAAGTCAGTGGAAAAAGGTGCGCGCTCAAGGAAATTTCATCGGACGCGCGAAGGTCATGCGGCACTCCCGATAACGCGGATATTTAAGTGATCGCGCGATTCTTTAAGAGAGAAAGGGAAGCGTACTCACTTTTGCGTTTGCCCAAGTTTATCACGATCGCGATCGTGATTGCTGCCGCTATCGTCGCCGTAGCTATCGCTGTCCCTGCCGCCGTTGTTGCTGCCGTTGCTGCTGTTGGTTGTTGCTGCCGTTGCTGCTTGCTGTGGCCGTTGCTGCTGCAGTTGCTGCTGCTGGTTGTTGCTGCTGTTGCTGTTGCTAGTTGTTGCTGCTGCTGTTGCTGCTGCTGTTGCTGCTGCTCACTGTTGTTGCTGACTCTGCTGCTGCTCACTATTGCTGCTTTGCTCACTCGTGGATTTAGGCTTGGCTCGCTCCAGAGTCTAGCGGGGACGTCTGGTCGGCACCAGAGCTTAACGAGTACTGGCGCGACGTTTTTCAGCGACGCGCCGCTTCTCCTTTATTACCTCTCCTTAACGATTAAGTGATTGGTCGGCTTGTTGCTAAGCCGGGTGTCAGCGCCGTCTATATCGGTACTTCTAGCCCGCGTAATTTTATCATTAGTCGCGTCTTGGCGCCTAATTTCCCTATTGGTTGCGAAGATAGCGTCGGTTTCACTCTATTTGTCTAGTTACCCCTAAGCTGATAACGATTGGTTAATCCGTTAGCGTCGCTTGCCTATCCTTGTCTATCTACCGCTCGTTGGTCTTAGCGATTCCCCTCGCTCGCGTCCGATCTCGCATCGGTTGTCTCGCTCGCTCTTGTGCGCTCGGTTGCCCCTACTTCGGTCTAGCCAGATCTGCCTTAGTTAACGGGGGCTTGCGATCAGCTGATCCCAGCTGGAATCTTTAAAGGCTTCCAGCTTCCTGGGGGAGTGTCGGACCGGGTCGTGAGTGCGCGAGGGGTTGTACGCGGGCGTAAGGGTCGTGCGCATCGGTCGGGAAGACTTCGGGGGACCATAGGTCGCGAGATCTGGACATGTGTGGGCGGGTGTATGCGGCAATAGCTGTTCGGCCGCATTTTCTAGCAGGAGCGGGGCTAGCATTAGGTAGCATAGATTTTCCTGTGATGACGCATCATCACAACTTTTACCGGAGAATCCAAGGAGCCCTCGGACAGCTCCGATAATTCACAATTCATTTCGGCCATTCGGCACAACCTTCTTTCTTCTTCATGCTCATCGCAGCAACCTCAACGCCTCTCTGCCGCTCGGACCCTCAGCTTCGACGCCGACGACATGCTCAACTCCTCCGCTGCTAACGAGCAGCACGAGATAGCCTCCATAGTCAAATCCCAAATGCCGGATTTTTGGCCGGACAACCCAAAGCTCTGGTTTTTCAAAGTAGAAGCAGACTTCAACGTCAATAGTATCAAGAGTGATGACTCTAAATTCAATTTGGTCATTCGAGCCCTCAACCACGTGGCGCTTAGTGAGGTAGCCGACATTATTCGCAACCCTCCGACGGAAGATAAGTATGAGGTCCTCAAGAACCGAATCCTGGAGCGCCTCGCCGACTCCGCCGAAAAGCAATTCGAGCAAATGCTTACCTGCATGCAGTTAGGAGACAAGAAACCCTCCCAGCTCTACAGATAGATATCCGAGCTTGCCGGGAACAACGCCACGGAGGACCTCTTAAACCCCCGTTGGCTCACACTGTTGCCGCTGCACGTTCGCAACACGCTTAAGATTTTCAAGGCGAAGTCCACGCTACAAGAGCTGCTGGATGCGGCCGATGCAATCATGGACCCTGGAATTTCTCCTGTTACTCTTGGTGGCGAAATGCCCACCGTGCAGGCAGTCCAACACCGTGCTCAAGACTTTTCCGAGATCAGGAACTTACTCTCCGAATTAATTTCAGTTTCGAGAGATCCTTGCCAAAGTCAACTACCTGGCCCGAGGCTCCAGGAGACCCAGCCAGCAGAGCGAGCCCACCCAGTACAGAGCCCGTTCAACTTCAAGATCGAGGCCACACACAGGTGGCATCTGCTATTACCACAACCGGTTCGGCACTGCCGCTGCTAGATACATCTTGCCATGCGCATGGTCCAGCGTCAGCAACCAATAGCGCCAGCCCCTGCCGCAAAATTTAAACGGCTAGAGCTGCTGCCTGGCCGAGCCCCTTACAGCAACTTCGACGCCGCTCATCACTTGAACGCCAGCCTGTGCCCTGAGAACTGTCTCCATGTAACGGACTACATCTCTGGCATGCGTTTCCTGGTTGACAGCGGCTCAGTGGTTTCAACGCTGCCGTGCATGGCGTCCGCTCCTACACAGCCGTATCATGGCCCCCCGCTTGCTGCTGCGAACGGATCGCAGATCAAAACGTTTGGTCGTCACCAAACCCAGATCGATCTAGAGCTTAACCGTAAGCTGATCTGGTCGTTCATACTGGCAGATGTCAAGACGCCCATTTTAGGCGCTGATTTCCTGTCTTTCTTTGGACTTGTGTTGAACCTCAAGCGACACCGCCTCATCGATGAGTTCTCGCTACGACCGATCCCGGGAGTCCTCAAATCTGCAGAAGTGCACACCATCTCAGTTCAACCCCCACAGCCGTCAGCTTCACCAGCGCACGACGATACAGTGAAATCGCTCATTGCGCGCTTTCAGGACCGTTTTGCGGCCCAGGATGACCTCATCACCGGCCCGAAGGCAACAGTCAAGCACCACATAGTGACGCTTGGCCCGCCTGTGTTCTGCAGGCCACAAAAATTGCTGGGGACAAGCTCAAAGCCGCCAAAGTCGAGTTCAGTTTTCTACAGCAGTCGGGCATCATTAGGCCCTCTAGCAGCCCTTACGCAAGTCCGCTACACATTGTCAAGGCTAGTTCTAGCAAGTATCGTGTAACAGGGGACTATCGGAACCTCAACGCGCAGACGGTACCGGATAGATACCCCATTCTTCGCATCATCGACTTATTACTACAGCTCCATGGCAAACAAGTTTTTTCTACAATCGATCTCAAAAGAGCATATTTCCAAATTCCGGTGGCAAAAGAAGACACTCTAAAGACAGCTATTACTATGCCCTTTAGACTCTTTGAATTTCTAGGCATTCCTCTTGGTCTGAAGAACGCTTCTCAGACTTTTCAGGGGTTCATGCACAGCGTTGTAGGTCATCTAGATTTTACAACAGTCTACCTTGATGATGTTCTTGTTTCCTCCTCGAGCATCGAAGAGCACCTGCAGCACCTTCAGGCGGTGTTCAAGGCTTTGCTTTCCAGCAAACTGCGCATTAACTGGGACAAATGCGTTTTCACAAAAAGGGAAGTCCTTTTTCTAGGATTCAGCATCAACGCTTTTGGCTTCAAGCCACCGGCGGAAAAAGTTAACGCAATCGTCAATTTCCCCAAACCGCAAACGTTCTGGGAACTCAAGCGCTTCCTAGGAGCCGTCAATTATTTCAGGCATCACTTAAGCATGCCGCTCGGCATCAGGCGTTACTCAACGACCAACTTTGTGGAGCCAAAAAACAGGACATGACTCCCTTAGTATGGACTCCGCAGCTGACAAGTGCCTTTGAAGCGACCTAGTCCGCTCTGGCAAACGCTACCTCTTTAAGTTTCCTGCACCCGGATGCACAAGTATTCCTCATCACGGACGCTTCATCTACTGCACTCGGAGGTTCTCTGGAACAACTCATCGACGGGAAGCCATCGCCTCTTGGGTTCTTCTCTAGGAAGCTCTCTCCTGCTGAGCAGAAATACAGCCCGTACGACCGAGAGCTCCTGGCAATTTTTGCCTCACTGAAACTTTTCGTCCATATCGTAGAAGAACGAAATCTCATCATTGGCACAGATCACAAGCCCTTAACCAAGGCCTTCCAATAAATGCCCGAAAGATCTTCTCCCCGCCAGCTTCACCAATTGGATTTCATCGGCCAGTTCTGCACAGACATCGCCTTCATTCCAGGTGACCAGAGTCTGGTAGCCAATGCGCTCTCTCGCATCTGCGCCATCTCAATGCCCACCAAGCTTGATGCACAAGCAATCAGCGAACATCAGGCGACTTCAGATGCAACCTTGTCGGAGGCGGACTCGACCTCACTCCGTCTACAGCCGCTGTACATCGAGGGTTGCCGCGTCCTATGTGACGTTTCCTCTGGCATTGTTCGTCCGTATTTGCCGCAGTCACTCAGGCGAGTAGCCTTCGACGTAATACACTGCCCCTCACATCCTGGTGGCCGAGAAACCTGTAGATAGTTAAAAGAAAAGTTTGTCTGGCCGGGTATGAAGAAAGACACGCTGCGCTGGGCGCGTGACTGCATTCCGTGCCAACGTTCGAAGATACACCGACACACCCGCAACCAACCCAACCACATCGAAGTGCCTGAGGCACGCTTTAGCCACCTCCACCTCGATCTCATCAAGATGCCTTTGATAAAGGACTACAGATACTGTCTAACGATCATAGATCGCTTCACAAGATGACCGCACACCATTCCGCTCAAGGACACGACCACTAAGTCGGTTGCAGCCGCCTTCTACAAAGAGTGGATTTCTCTTTTTGGCACGCCGCTGACAATAACGACGGATCAAGGCCAGCAGTTCGAGTCTGCGCTGTTCTTGGCGCTAGCTCAGCTAGTGGGTGTAAGCCGCATTTGCACAACTCCCTACCACCCATCCAGCTGACGCCGACGGCACATCACGTGAAGGCGAAAGTCTTCATGCACAAGGATCTGCGTACCTATGCGCACGTCTTCAAGCGAGCAGCGACGGTACAACCGCCACTTGCACCGCCCTATTCCGGCCCCCATCGGGTCATAAGGAGATTAGATGATCACAGATTCGTCATCGATGTGGATGGAAGGCCGGTTACAGTTTCAACGCAACTCTTGGTGCCTGGTTACGTAGCAGATGATCTGCCGCAGGCCGTAGCCAGGCCACGTACGTTTTTCTCTTCCAGATCCAGTGACCTCTCCAGCTCAAGGACCAAACATAATTCCAGGGTTACCTTCTACTCAGCCAACCTCCAGGGGGGAGTGGCTTAGCGCCTGTACCTGGCAAACCTGCTCCGCCAGCTGGCAGCACTACCCAGCAGTCGCGACGGCCGCGGAAGCAGTTGCTCGTGCCGCGAGCGAGGTCAGCCGGATCGGAGCTGCCAGTCAGTTAAAACTGAAGCACAAGCCGGAGCGCAGGGCCTAACTGCGAGCGCCGCGTCAATTAGTTTGAGCGACCAGTTGGGCACCTGTGCCCCCCACATCTGTAGCTGCAGTGCCTCCGTGTAATTCTGCGCCGAGGAAATAAAACCTAGTCTATCAAGTACAGTCCTTCTTGTGTTTCCTTTCTCCTCGCAAATTCCGACCTGGTTCCACGCAGCAAGTGAAGAGGAGTGCGAGTAGAGGCAGAGGAATTTCGCCGTGCCGGAGGACAACTTCAAACGTTCCTGCGCGGACTCAGGCCAAATCTGCCCGGTTCCTTACATATTTTGGACCTATTTTGGATCCTTGACCTATTTTGGATCCTTATCCTGAGGTTAGCACCACATATGATTAATGTGCACTTCCGGCAAACTATGTAACTGTCAAAGCGTTGGCGTCTCACGAAACCATCCCTTTTAAATATTATCCGGACGGCCACAGATACAACCGTATCAGTGTTGGTGGCTTTACACCGTTACGGTATATTAGGTTTAGGTTTACCTTTAGGAACAGATTAGCTTTTATAAAATAAAAATTAAATATTGAATTTCTTCTATTTATATCATTTATTATCGCAACAACTTTGATCACGTTTAGGTTAGTTAAATTTATAATTTCTTTTGCTTTGTTTATAAATATACATTTATGTATACATTTATGTATAGCTCATTAGATACAAATTTTTTGTACTATTTATTTAACTTATATTTATTGAATTAAGTATATTGTTAGTTTATTTGATTGTTTTTGCAATGGAACACTTTTAAAATAAAATGCTTTTTAATGATTTAAATTCCTAACATGCTGGAAACAACTCGTGAATTCATTAACAATTAATGAATTTATAAGTCTTACAACTTTACTACTAAGTTTAAATATAAATTACAGCGTCTAATACTGATTACACAGGCCAATAAATCTCAGAACCAGAGACCAGACATAGTGTACCCGAAAGATTTTGATGCGCTGAATTCGAATTCATGCTCAGCATTTTCCTTGAACGTCACGTTTCCGAGATATCCTAACCAAAATGTGCAAAAAATACTGTACTTTGCTATTTTTGAGGTTACATAGCAACTTGAATAAATTTTTTTTTCAAAAACGCGCCAGAGCATCACAAAGGAGCAGTCTTGCCGTTTGAAATCCATTTTTTAGATTCAAGATGGCTTTTTTTTTCATCGAGACATCATTAATTGAAGTTAAGTATTTTCGCAGTTTTGTAACAACGTTAACACCGCCTATATAGCATAAGTGAAGCTATAAGCTCAATTTATAAGTGATCGTATTCGTTCGAAAAAATCTATATATGTGTTTTTGAAGTTGCTGAGTAAGAATATAAGGTCTAATTTTTATAGCCTTAACTTCAATCAATGATGTCTCGATGAAAAAAAAGCCATCTTGAAACTAAAAAATGGATTTTAAAGGGCAAGACTTTGTGATACTCTGGCGCGTTTTTGAAAAAAAAATTATTCAAGATGCTATGTAACCTCAAAAATAGCAAAAAACGGTGTTTTATGCACTTTTAGGTTAGGAAACGTGACGTATAGGGAAAATTCGAATTCGAATTCAGCGCATCAAAATCTGGGTCTGAAAATTGTCGGCCTGTGTTATTATACGATTATAATAAATATTATAATAATGTATTATTATATTAATGTATTATTATATTGATATATAATAAATATTATATATTAGGTTCAATGAAATCTACTATAGTAAACTTCGTCGATATTACGACTGCAGTCGGACGATTACGAGCCACCTATTCGTTTATTTTATTAGTTTTTTTTTTGGTAAAATTAATTTGTAAACAGATTAATTTAATTTATTAATTTAATAATTATTTTTATTGGTCAAAGATTCATTGATTATAGAATGCTCTGTTTATAATCTTTATTCTCTGTAGTTTACATAGATGTTTCGAAATATTGAACAGAATTTTTAAATATATCATAATTAACTTCATCCGTTCATTCTGGTTCAGACTGCTTTTGTCTCTCTTTGATCTATAAAGATAATTTTTGTACATTTGTAACAATACACACATAAAATTAGATCGCTTCTCTTGATGATATGCACAGGATGTTTTTAATGGTAGTGATAACTCTTTCAATGGAGGACACTTCATATCAGTAGTATAACTATGTTTATTCTAGCCCCGAAAGTGAGCGATAAGAATGGGAGATCGCCTCATGATGTCATGATACGATGAGAGCTGGCCTGTGACGTAACTGGTACGCGTAGAGGTTGCGATGACGACAGAATAAGGTGGAAGTTGACCGGTGATGTGATTGATACGACGGAGGTGGAGGAGGCGACATCAGGATACGAAAGGGGAGGTGGCTGTTGACACGATGATATGGTGGCGACGACGTCAGGATACGATGATGGCAGTTGGTGATAAATTAAAAGTGGGTATTAATTGGACAATTAATAATACCTGCGGCGCGTATGATGATATAGCGTAGCATGAATTTATAGGGGTCGATAGAGCTAGAGGAGCTAGCGTAAGGCTTGAAAACGACGCGGCCTACAGTATGCAGCAAACAGGGGAGGTCTTGTAGAGCTAGCGTCACTGAGTCAGACAAGTTGGCAAAGAAAGAGAAAGAGAGAGGGACAAGCGTGGTCGTTCACTACCGTTTGACTAGTAAAGAAAAGCCGACAGCAGTGTCAGTAGCTCTACCCGTTATCCTTTATTATTATATAATAAATAAAATAATGTAATACAATATTTGAAATAATTGCTTATCATTTATATAAATTATATATACATTGAGTATGAAATATTAAAAAAGTATCAATTTTTAATAAATGTTTGTCAATAAAATAAAATAATATGAAATAATATAATATACATTTTATATTATATAATTCTTTTTTTCATTAGTTATACATATACTACATTAATTTTTTTAAATTGCCATTGATCGAATTGTATTGTACAAATCGATCATGAAGAATTAAGCAGTAGGCAGCAGTATCATCAGGAAAATCGGTTCATGTCTCAAATTCAAGTCGAACATCTACCGTAGCACTCTTAATTGATTCATTCCGTTTTGAACGGTCGACAACTAACAGTTGTACAAAATAAAGCGACTATCAAGACACATGCTTAAAATATTGTTGAGATAAATAATAATAATTACATCAAAACACAAAAAGCATCTATTAAAGCTTATTGGCTTAAATATAAAGTTGAATTGAAAAGCAGCATTATCCATAATTAGCTGTAGCTAGGATTGCGTATGAAAATAGTGGAGAAGAAGGATTGTTCGCATTATGCGTGGAAAATGTAAATAATAAACCTAGAGTGACTAAAAATTTTAAATACTACAAACTATTT